TTTTTTTTTTTTTTTTTTTTTAATGAGATTCCTGCAAACCTTCGTGCATGTCTTCTTGCAGCCTTGCAGGGGAAAGAAAGCACTGGGGAGCCTCTCTGAGGGTGTCAGGCCCAGGGATGCTACCCTGGCTGGCACCAGGGCTGGCCTGGCTGTGCCGTTTGAAGACCTTCTTTCCCTGGATTCCCTCATGACCCCTATCAAAGTTTATTGCAGGAAGATGGATGATCTGCTTGGCTGGCCCTTGCAAGGGTAATAGCAATATTGTGCATTGTTTCAACCCTCAGGTGCTACCTGTTCTCTCCAGGATGGTTTTATTTATATTAAACTAAAAAGCCTCCAAAATAAGATGTTACAGCTGATTAATTGTACCCCAGAGAAGTCCGCAGTTCCCCTGTCCAGTCCCTCGCCCTGATTTCATTGCCAGCTGAAACAAAACCTCCCACTCGCACCTTTTGCTCTGGCTTGCCCATGCTGTGGGTCTTCTCCACCCAGGACTCTCCCACCCAGCCCTCCAATGCAGGAGGGACCTCTGCCCAGCTTCTCCTGCTGCAATGAGGAGGGGGCACCCCCTCCCCAACTGAGCCTCTGCGAAGCATCTTGTTGATGCCTCTCCAAAAAGGCCGAGAGATGTCAGAGCCTCCACCCTGGCACCAAGAGCCTTTAATGCAGCAACTGGCTAATGCTTTCAAAAGCCACTTAGTGGCTAATTATGGTATTATTGCCTTGGGAGCGGCTGGAAACTCAGACACTTGGAGGTATTTGTGCTTTCTTTTCAATGGGAGCCCAGGACAAGGTGGTTTCAGTGGTCTCCCTCTACCTGCAGCCTGCCTGGGAGTGGGAGGCTTGGACTCGGTGATCTGTCTCCCATGAAAAGTCAGCCCACCTGTAGCCCAAAGCAGACTAAAGCCCCAGGACACAGCCTGGAGCTGAAGTCCTCCCTGCAATGCGAGTGCTTCAGCCTGTAGGTATAAACGCAATCACGTTTTTGGATACCAAGGATCTTTCCAGCTGTGCTGTCACCGTGTGCTACAGGGCCACAAAACACCCTGGAGGCCAGGAGCAGAAGATGGGTACCCAGGAGCAGAAGATAGGTACCCAGCAGGTGGTGCCAGACTGATGCGAAGGGAGCTGCGAGCCCTGCGCACCCCTGGGTGAGAGCACAGTGCCTGCTGAGCCTCACTTTTTAACTATTTGCCAGCCCAAATTTTTCGGGTTTTGGTGGGGTTTGTGTTCTGGTTTTTGTGTTTGGTTTTTTTCTGGTGCTCACCCATATTGAAGTTGGCTTCACACACGCAGCCACTCTTGTCACTCCAGGTATTTAAAATGAACCCACTGACTGAACAAAAAATCAAGCGTTTGAAGAGCCAGGGAAGAGAGTAGTTGCTGCGATATGACCTACCTCCCTGGCCAGGACAGCCAGCAGCCACACACACAACCTGCAAAGCCCAGGCATGAGGCCACCACGAGTGGCAAAGGGACACTGGCGTGGTGGGAGCTGTGTCTCGCTGCTCGTGTGGAGCTGCTGCTGACCACACAGCACCTCTGGTCTCCGCGGCCACGCCGGGCTTGCCTGTCCTGCTGGCTGCCGTAAGAACAAGCTGTGTGGGCAGGAATGCTTCCCACAAATGCTGTTCCAGTCAGGGATGGAAAGCTCCATCATGGGCTATTAAATATGAAGTCCCTGAGTCACAAATCCTGCCCCAGACAGAAGTGCTAGACTATTTATACACTCCTGTATAAGAGCTACTGCAGACCTTTGGCTATCTCTATTGCTTTTTGAACGTTTTCCAGTTGAGCTATATCAAGATGGGGAGAACAGAAATGCGCTCAGTGAATTATGGATGTGTAGAGAACCATAATGGTGTTCTTCCTTTTATGGGCTCCTCTTTTCCAAATAATTTTTAACATGCGCCTCTATTTTGAACAGCTTTTGGACTATCTGGTGAAGCTGAGCTCTTATTCAAGGCAGGGAATAGCTTTGGTGCACGTTATGAGTATAAAGAGAAGAAAATAGGAAAAACACATACATCCCCATTCAATAGCAGTTGCCATTTTATCACCTGCTCACACAGTATCACAAATTGTTGTTCACCATGAATCACCAATGGTCTTGCTACCCCACCGATGGTCTTGAGTGGGAGGTGGAAGCTGTGATGTGGAGGGTTGGAGAAGCCGACACCAGCACCAGGGTTTTGCCCAGCCTGGATGACTGAATCCTCCCCAAAATGCTGTTTTGTTTTCCCATCCTCTCTGCTCACTCCTCTTTATCCTCCCCAGCAGCGAGGGGTGGGAGGGAGGAAGGCAGGAGGCATATGGTACAGCAATATGCAAGGAGGGGACTGAGGTGGCTGGACCTGGGGATGGAGTGGTGGTGGCCCTGGCCATTCCTGGTCCTGGTGGGAAGCAGCGGTGGCCGCAGTGGTGCTCCCTGGCCTGCCTCCCCATCCCACAGAACACTGGAGTGTGGCCGAGGAGAGCTTGTCCCTGTGCCCTGGAGTGGTGGTTGATGGGGCAGGAGGTGTGCAGGGAGCCCGGAAGCTTTTCCACCTCCTTCCCTTCCATATCCTCCACTCCTGGCAAATGCTAGCCCAGGCTCTGGGCTACCTGGGAGTGCTTGTCCACTTCCCCAGGGGCTGCAGGCAGGAGTCTGAGCAGCTGTGCATTGTTCCTCACGCTTGGGAGGGGATGAGTGGGACCGTGCACCCAAAGCTGCTCCATCCCCTCTGCCACGCTTCTCTGCTCAGCCTAATACCTCAGGCATGATGGAAGAACAGCTCAAGGCCCAATTAGCAATGCGGCTGGCAGCCAGGCAGGGACTGGGGCGTGTGTAGTATATAAAGAGCATCATGGCATGTAAGGACCTTCCATCTCCCTACTGCCACGTCTAGCGATGGAGTTGGGCTGGGCTGTGAAAACAGCCATTGGTGTCTCCAGCAGCATCACCCACCAACCCGCATGGGGACAGGGTTGGGAGAGAGTGGACGCCCCAGCTCAGCCTGCTTTGACCAACTGAAATAGAGGCCAATGTGACCAGGCAGGTCTAGGGCGTTTGAGTTTTTCTCCAGCCTGTTGGGGGAAACACAGACCCTCCACCAGCATCAAGTCCTCATGGTGCAGCCCTTGCCCTCCACCCACCCATTGCAGCCTTTTGCAGACCCTGCTGCTCCATGGGGATTTTTCCCAGCCTAGAAATGGGGCCAGTAAGTGGTGAGAGGCTTTCCTCACGGTGCCAACACTGAGAGGTCCTCACCAGTTTTAGCCCTGCTGGATGGCAGAGGGCTTGGGTTGCCAGGGGAGGCAGAAGGGGACAGAAGCAGCTGGATTCACAAGCTGAGAAACTCTTGGGAAGAGGCAATGTTAAATTGCACCTTGCTGGGGAGAAGCTGCCCCCATCTCAAGTGGATCCTCTTGCTAGACATGGCTTTGTGAAAGCCAGGGCAGCATCCAGCCCCAAGGCTGGGGGAAGGCAGGAGGGCTGGGGGGAAGGCACCCCCAGCTGGGCCCAGCTCCTACAAAGGACACATGGCCCTCCATGCCCTCAGCAAGAGGCCATACCCTGAACCACTTCTGCTCCCTCCCAGCCGGGCAGCATCCCAGGGGCAGGGAAAGCAGGGACCCGGGCAGCCAGGGAGGAACAGAAAGCAAGATCCTTTATTGTACACAGTACAGAATGTAATGCAGCTTTGCAGGAATTACATAGCCCTGCTCGAGTAGAGATTATTTCAGATCAGTCCTCAGATTAACCCCTAGACCTGCCACACCAAGCACATGGTTAAAACCCTGTCCCCACGGTGGGGTTCCCACAACCCAACGCTCCCTGTGGATACAGGCCACTGCAGCCACCACAGGGAGTGCAACCAAGTCTACCCAGAGTTAATCTTCATACTTCCCAAAAAAAGAATGAATCAGTCAAAAAAAAAAAAAAATTAAAATCCAACCAAAGCTAACTAAGGAAGAGAAAAAATTTCCTATACAGCATTTACAACAAAAACATATAGCCAGTGGGGGTAGGGGTAAGCAGGTATGGATATATGAGAGGTGGAGGAGTGTTAGGAGGCGCAGCGGGGATGGGGGAGCTGGAGGGGAGTGGGGTGGGGACCCACCGTCCCTGCCCATGGCGGCCCTACAGCCCAGCTCCGAGGCCATGCTGAGCAGGGGGAGCGCAGCCGAGCCGGCACCGGGGTTCAGTCCTGGCTCTCCAGGGAAAGAGAAATCGAGTAGTGAAATGGAGTGGACCAGATACTTCAGCAGCCGTCCCCGGGAGCTGTGGGCACCAAGGGCTCCCCACCGCAAATGTGACACCGGCAAAGCCAAGGTTGGGGGGGCATCCCCAGGGGCTCCGGGAACAGCAGCCAGGCTGCAAAAAATAGCTTTGCCTTAAAATACAAAAAATCTACAAAAATCAGTTTAGAAACTTTTTTTTTTTCCTAAAACATCAAAAAAAAATAAAAAAAAGAGAGAGAGATAGTGTCAGGGGTCTCCTCCCCTGAAATGCAACCCATGGCACGCAGCTGGAGCTGGGGAAGAGTAGTGAGAGGGGCACGGAGAGGACCCGGGGGGGGGCTGGGAAACTGTTATATCGGGTTATATCACCGGGGAGGGGCAGTTCGGGAAGAAGGCAGAAGGCTCCTTAGGGTTGGGGTAGGATGCTGCGTACATCAGCCCTGGGGTGCTGGCCCAGGCAGCCCCCCCCATCCCTCCTCTGTGCAAATCAAAGCCCTTTCCACCACACAAGGCAGCTACGCGGATCGCGCTGGATGCAAAGCAGATTGTCATGACAAGTGGCCAGGTGGCCACGCCGGCTAAGCCCAGTACCAGGGCGCTGCTGGAGCCACGGGCCCCTGCGGTGCTGGCAAGGAACAGGGACTGGGTCAGAGACTGCGTTTTTAGCTCCCATCACCCCAGTGGCTGGCGGGAGGTGCCAGCCCCGGGCAGTCCTATGCACTAGCCCTTGGACAGTAAGGGTGGGAATTCAGCAGTGACACACACCGGGCGTTTTAGATTCCTCAAATTCGTGTGTGTGCACGCGTGCAGTTTGTTGTTTGTGTGTTGGTGGTTTTTTGTTGTGGTTTGTTTTTTTTTTTTTTCCTCCTTTAAGAACAGCAAAAAATATTCTTTACAAAACCGTATTTGCCCAAAGTGGATGCGCTAGTGCTCGTGGCTCCGGGGCTGGCCGAGTCAGTAAGCGAAGCCCTCCGCGTAGGGAAGGCTGCCGCAGGGATCCATCTCCAGGAGGTAGGCCGGGCTGTCCTCGAAGTGCGTCAGCGGCACCGTCTCCTCCTCGGGCACGGGGCAGTCGGGCTCCATCTTCAGGAAGGGACGCTGGTTGTCGGGGTAGGCCATGGAAAAGAGGGCATCGGGGTCGCAGACGAACTTATAGACGTACCGTTCGCCGGCCACCTGGGGAGAGAAGGAGGGATGAGAGGTGCCTGGTGTGACTGACACTGGACCCAGCCCCACTCCTGCCGTGTCCCACACTCTCTGCCCCCCGCCCCATGACAGCGGATCACACCTTCTGCATGATGCCCTTCTCGTAGTAGTAGCGCAGGGAGCGGCTGAGCTTGTCGTAATTCATGGCCGGCCGGTTCTTCTGGATGCCCCAGCGCCGCGCCACCTGCGGGGAGAGAGGGGGCAGCTGTGAAGACCCCATCCAGGACTTGGGGCTGGATCCTCAAAGCAAATCACAACCGAAATGTGGAGGTAGGGGCTCAGTTATGGGGGCTGGAGCAGCCAGGGGTGAAAGCATCACCACGGCCCTGGAGCAGCTCCCCGCCTGCTGCAACAAATGCTCCAGCTCCAAGCGCCTGCTGCCACACCACCACCACTGCCAAACCGGGGGCTGAATTCAAAGACATTTGATTAGGGGATCCTGCCAAAAAAGCCGCTTCAAAAAACCACAATTTCCATGCACGGCAAAAGAGATATTATGGGTAATTACCCACAATGCGCAGCTCAGCGCTGCAGCTGCTTTCAATTACTCCCCAAACAGCTTCTTCCTCTGTGTCACCCTCCCGCAGAGCCGCTTGGCTCTGGCACAGCACCACGCTGCCGCCGGGGACCCGGGGCGAAGGATGGGGGCGGTTTGGGAGGTGGGGAGCTGTGGCCTTGGCAGGGCACCCGAGGTGTGGCACGGGGCAACGCCGGCACGGCTGGCCATGGCTGGCGGCTCCCCGTGCTGAGGGGCAGAGGTGGAGATTAAAGGGAAATTTCCACGGCTGCTCAGCGCAGACAGGCAGTTGACTTGTCCCTCTCTCCCTCAAAAGCTGCCCCCCGAGTAGGACACGTGCCTTGTTCCAACAGCAGGAACGAAGGGCTGTGTCGCACGGGAAGGCTCCATCCCCCTCCTCCCACCACCCCCACCCCGCATCCCCAGCTCTGCCATACCTCCTCAGGCTCGATCAGCTTGAACTCCATGCCCCGGCCGGTCCAGGCGATGAAGTGTGAGTTGGCGGGGTCATCCAGGAGGGTGACTAGGAACTGCCAGAGCTGCAGGGACCCGCGCCGCTGGTAGGGAGGGCCCTCGCGGTACAGGGTGGGCTCCTGCTTCACTTTACCTGCCCACAACAAGAAATGGCTGATTAAAAGCCCCGGCTCTGCCCCTCTCCGGGCTGTGCCCCCCACCAGGGGACACAATGTACAGCAGCACTGGGCTCACCCCTGTGCCGGGACCCCCTGCACAGGATGAGGGCAGAGGGAGGGCCAGGTGCTGGGGACAGCGCTGTGGGCAGGCGATGCGTGGGGTGGGTGACAGGGATGGGGACAAGACACGGTGATGTTGAGCAGCCACGCGGGATGATGCTCAGCAGCTCTCAAGAGCACCACGCTGGCACAGCTTGGCCTTAAAAGCTGGCTGCTGTGCAGTCTAGCCCCAAGTCTCCCTCCATGAGCCCTGGTCCCCCTCAGCCCCTCTCTGGGGCCACACTCTTACCCTCCAGCCTCTCCGGTACCACACACGTGTCATCAAAATACAATCGTGTGTCCTTTTCATATGAAAATCCTAGGGGGAAAAAAGACCCTCTGTGAGCACAGAGCACCTCCACCACCCCAGCCAGACCCCAAAAAACCCAAATTTGGCCCATTCCGGCACCAAGACCCCATCCCCCAATGCTGGGAGCAGCCCCATCTGGGCCTGGCACCACACTGGCTTGCTGGCCACGCACCATGCAGGTCTGTCCCCTCCTCACCCCAGGGAGCTGGGAGAACCAAAACCCTCTTAGCAGCTATATCGGGCGTGTTATCCTGGATTAGGCAGCACTGCCGTGCCCTGGTGGCACACTCGCAGGGGCACAGCACAGCCCTATTTTTAGCAGTGGTGCCGGCACTGCTGGCGTGCAGGCTCTCACGGGCACCGTGGTGCTCCCGGGGGTGTTTTTTGGGGTGCCCATCAGCTCTGCCTGCCCCCAGAGAGGGATGGGACATGCTGGTGATGCCCATGAGCACTCACCGTCATGGCTGCTGGGGAAGACGCCTCCCCGCAGGTACGAGGACTGGCAGTTAGGCACTTCTGCAAGGGAGACGAAGGCAGCATTAGGGATTTATGTCCCATGGGGCAAGTGCTCCAGTGTGCTTCCCACCCCTGACCCCGAGCACATCCTGCAGCCAAGCCTGGGCATCTCACACCCTGGCAGACCCTGGGCCACCGCTTGGGTTTTTACCACATTATGTGGGTCCTGTGGGACAGGAGGCATCACCACACCTCCCCTGCCATCTGCTCAGCCATGCCACCCTCCATCCCAAGGTCAGGGTATTTTTAGGTCCTAAGGCGATTAGAGGATTTTTTCCGTGATGCTGGTGGGGTCCAGCAGCCAGAAATCACATCTGGCTCCAGGCCAGGGCTACGGTGGGACCCGCTGGGTGCCGTGGGGCACCCTAGCTCATGACTATGGCACAGACCACGCTGCATGGCACCTGGTGAATGCCTGCTCTATCCCCACTGGCTTCAGCAGCCCAGAACCATGGGAGCCCACCGTGTCTGCTGCCTGTGAGCCGCCGGTGTGACCCACATCACCCTGGGTACCGGCACCTGGCTGCTCCCCCAACTCGCACCCACCTGAGTCGATGCAGTAGTCCCGGGGCTCTTGCTTGATGCCCATGGGGGGCTGGAAGCTGTGGCTGGCGGGGGCGGGCAGGCTGGGGCCGCCGTGCTCATAGAGTGGGTCGTGGTATTCCTGCTTGAATCCCTGAGGGGGGTGGGGGGCAGCAGGGCCGAGGGGCTCGGAAAGCTGCCGGTGGTAGACGGGGCGGCTCTCCCCCGGGACCCCAGGCTGAGGTGGGAAGGGGTGGCAGGGCTCAGACAGCTGCCTCTGAAACCTGGGGGGAGAGGGACATGACGTTACTGAGGGGTGGCAGGGTCAGGCACACCACCGGCTCCCACCCCAGCCGGGGACCCTGTGCCAGCTTGGTGCCTTCAGCCCAGGGTGCTCCTGGGGTGCTTTGGGTGGTGGTGGGTTCCACCCACAGCAAGCTGGGATGGCGCCTCAGGAGCACAGCCACCACACGGGGACCCAGCAGGGCACTGGGGAGCCCCATCCTCCTCCAAGCGCTGGGGACACCCCAGTGGGGGAGCAGGACAGCACATGTGCCGTCACCACAAAGCACCGCACCAGGATGGCAGCCCTGGGCCGCAGCAGGGATGACTGGGCAAGATTGAGGATGAGAAACAAACAAAAAAACCCAACCCAACCAAAAAACAACCACCCCACAACAGCAAAGTCTCTGTAAAGTGGTACAATCTCCCCCCAGGGTAGGGGGCAGAACCATGGGCCTCAGGGGATGCTGCACCCAGCCTGGTGCTTACGCAAAGCCAAATCCACCCCGCAGCCCCAGCTGGCTGCTAATCCGCCCACGCCGCTGGGATTAAACCTTGAACTCGGCAGCAGGGAGCACTATTTTCAGCTCCAGGGTGCTGTCACCGCTGGCTCGAGCCCCAGCGGAGCCCAACCTGGCTGTGGAGAACAGGGGACCCTCTAAAGGGGGTGCTGCAGCATCCCCTCGCCCTCCGGCACCTTGAAAGGTGATCTCAGCACCCGGCTCCTCTCGCTGGCCACACGCCATTTGGCTGGGTAACCGGAGCCCTCCCAGCTGCCGGGCTGGGATTACTCCATTTCCGAGCCGTGTCCCTCTGCCCTTCCTGAGTGAAACCCAAGCCCTGCACTGGCACGGTGCTTCCCGAGGGGTCGCAGCCAGCCCCGTGCATAGCTTGAAGGTCGCCCAGAGCCCAGCCCTGCTTTGCCAGGGAGGGATGCTCGCCTGCTGCAAGCGCGTCCCAAGGGTTTCCACGGTCCCACCTTTGCTGGGCTGCCCACAGGGGACATGCTGCCACCAGCAGCCATCACCACAGCAAAGGGCATCCAGGAGGCCACAAGCAAAGTCAGAACTGACTATGACTTGCGCCACGCCGCCTACCACTAACCTTTGTGCAAGCAAACCCAGGACGAGGGAGGGGATCAGCAAAGCCTCCAGGGACATGGCGGGGACAAAGGATGAAGCCATGGCTTGGAGAGGAGGCAGGGAACAGAGTCTCTCCCTCCACAGCTGCAAAATCACAGGGATGCTGTGCGATGCACGGGGGACCTAAGGACCAACCCTCAGCCTAGGGATGCTCGGGGGCAGGATGGGGATGCCTGCAGCTCCCCAGCCCGGCAGGGCTCAGCTCAGATGGCAGAAAGCTGCAGTGGGTGGGAAAGAGGAGAGCAAGAGCCCTGACTCAGCACCATCGCCCGCTGCCGCAGGGACAGATGTAGCCAGCAGCTTCTGCCACCCTCACCTTCCCCCACGGTGGGGGAGGTTAAGGGTCTGCCCTGTGTCCCCAGGGCTGGAAGAAGCAGGTCCCCAGTCACAGGGAGCTGCCTCATGGGGAAAAAGAGCCACAAGACCCCAGTGGGAATCATAGAATGGTCCAGGCCAGAAGGGACCTCCGAGGGTCATCCAGTCTGACCCCCCCGCAGTCAGCAGGGACACCCACAACTAGACCAGGTTGCCCAGGGCCTCGTCGAGCCTCTCCTTGAATATCTCCAGGGATGGGGCCTCAACCACCTCCCTGGGTGACCTGTTCCAGTGCTCCACCACCCTCACAGGAAAGAACTTTCTCCTAATCTCCAATCTAAATCTGCTCCCCTCCAGCTTAAAGCCATTGCCCCTCGTCCTGTCACTGCAGGCCTTTGTAAACAGACCCTCCCCAGCCTTCCTGTAGGCCCCTCAGGTACTGGAAGGCTGCTATTAGGTCTCCCTGGAGCCTCCTCTTCTTCAGGCTGAACAGCCCCAGCCTGTCCTTCATAGCAGAGGAAGCAGCAAAATTTGTGGCGCTGGCTTCCACAGGCCCCCAGGCAGCAACATCTGGCCCATGGTCTGCAACTGCAGCGATCCCCCTTCCCTCCCCACACTTGGAGGGCACCCATCCATCCCACGGGGGCCAAAGTCCCGTCCCCATAAATGCCCAGCAGACGCCAGTGCTCACTTAGGGAGGGGGAAAGCCTTACCTGTGCTCTGCGGGGTATTGGTTTTCAGACATCATCTTTGGCATGTGCATGGGCGGGTGAGGTGGCCGTGGCACAGCAAAGGTCTGCTGCCTCTGCTCCTGCAGCGGCTGCGGCGCCGGGGCCGCCCCATGGGCAGCTGCCTGCACGGCTGGGGCCGGCGGCGGCGGCAGGGCCGACCCCTGGTGCGCAGGAGACACGGGGGTGGCGGGCGGCGTTAATGGCTTGAACCCGGCGGAGGGTTTCCTGTCGTAGGCACTGCAGAGAGGGAGAGGGGCCAGGGGCTGACGGCGACGCTAATGAAGGCGCCGTGCGGCAGAGGCTGACAAACAAGATGTGCCCCTGTGCCCCAAGGCGGGCAGCGTCCACCCTCCCACTACCTACCAGCAGTTGTAGAGGCACTTGTCCCCATAGCCGGTGCAGAGAGCCTGCTCATGGCTGCAGGATGACAGCTCCGAGGAAGGGCTGTGCAGCTCCCGCTTGATCTTTGCTGGAGGAGGGGCGTGCAGGACCACTGCAACGAAACAGGGGAGGATACAGGCTCGCCTGCACGGGAGAAGGTGACGGGGAACATCCCCCGGGGTGCTCTTTGCTTGGGAACCAGGTGCCAAAATACTCTCCCAGGAGCATCAGGCGACCAAAGCCCAGCAGAAGGGTGCCCCAGCCAGACCCCGACGTGCCGGTGGACAGAGCCGCGGCGGCAGGGCTGACTTCTGCAAGGGAGGGCAGAGCTCCCAGGGCTGGGACAGTCCTTCTGGCTTAGGACTTCGCTCATGGAGCAGGAGTCATTCCCACTGGGATCCAAGATCCCCAGCTCCTGTGCAGGGCAAAGGGGGAAGAGCAAGGGTTGTGAGAAGGGAACCGACAGCTTGACGACAGCCACAGAGGAGACGTGTGCCCAGCCTGGGCCAAAAGCCCCTCGGTGAGGGGAGCGAGCCCAGGCACTGCAGGCAGCAGCCACCTCCCTGAGCCACAGGGCAAGGAACAAGGGGGCTTTACAGCCTGGAGCTCCAAGAGCTTTCAAATGGGATGCAGCGAGCCCCTCACCCTCGCAGTGGCACAGCCAGCTCCCAGTCAGCTGGCCAGAGGGTCAGCAAGCAGCTAAACCGGATCCACCGTCCCCCAGCTCCAAGGGGGCCCAGTCCCAGGGTCCCACAATTGTATTAGCCCAAGTGGCAAACGTCCCATTAAACCCAAATCCTTCCCAGCCCCCCAAGCCCACTCGCCATGTATAATTTTAAACCAGGTAATATATGCTTAGCCTGATTAATTTCTAAAAGCAGGCGCTCTAGGAAAGGGAAAGCGCCTCAGAGATCTTTACCTAAATAGTGCCTGCAGAGGAGAGCCAAGACTAATCGGAAGTGGAGTATTAGCTTCATGCAAAGTCTAAACACAGCCCAACTACAGGGGAGAGGAACAAATAGCTCCAGGACAACTGTTCACAGCTTGCCAGGTAATGAGCTGCTCCCCTAATTTGTCAAAACCTTTAAAGAGCTGCTGACTCCCCGCTCTACCCCCACCTGAAACAGCCCAGCGCAGCTGGTACCAAGGGCATAAAACTCCCCCGAGGAGGATTTGAAACACGAAGCCCAGCGCTGAGCCAGCACAGCCTCCCGCCTGCCTTCCACCCGCTCCCCACCCGGATTTAGCCCCCTCCTCCTTCTCCCCCCCTCAGTGAGGTTTCGCCGCTCTCAGCATTTCTGGCCTTAACGGGGGGCCGGCACGGCGGCGGCAAAGCCCAGGCGCCCCGCGAGCCATGGGAGAGCCAAGAGGAACGGGCTTTGGAAGGGCTCCAGCTGCCTATCGCGGGCATGTTTCTCCCTAACAGGCTCCGTGTTGTTGGAGCGGGTTGTTTTTCCGCCAGCTGTACAATGGGGTCTGGTTATTCATTGAAAAAAAAAAAAAAGTCTCCGAGCAGGCACCACCCTCCATTCACAAACAATTTGAGCGCTCCATTCATGCGGCCAGGCAAAAAAAAAAAAAAAAAAAAAAAAAAAAAAAAAAAAAAAAAA